ATGTGTGCGAGTGTCTGTATGCTTGTTTTATGTTTTTGCCACAGGAAGGTGAAAGGGAAAACCCCCCATTTGGACATAAATAGAACACAGATGCCTGAAGATGCTCCCAAGTACGAAGCATGATTGGAGGATTTCAATCAAATTAGGTAGAACCAACCCGTAAAGGAAAAGACGTAATTTAACTGTTAAACTCGGCTTAAAACTAAACTGTGGCTTCAAAGAGATTTTCTTGTTTTTCGTAAGACCATCGCAAAATAAACATATAGACATTACTAAGCTCTACTGGATTATGTGCTTTGGTCAGATGGGAACTTTTTGACAAACACTTCAGGGGTGTTTGGAGTGGATCTGCCGCATCAGAACCAGAACTTACTTTTTTTTTTTAATCTTTCCTATTATCTCAGTTTCTGAGGTACTGACAGATAGCGTTCAAATGTTTTAACTTCTTTTATGTTTCATAGATGATCTGTTTATCTTAGAGTAATTCAATTCAGATTCCACACATACGATTTGTTGAAATTCTTGATGGTAGAGGAGGATTAAACCAGGAAGTGAGCAGAAAACCAGCTCACTTCCTGGAGGAAACATGAAGTTAGTAAATTAAATAAACATTTTAATGACATACTTTAGAGCTTGTACTTGCAATGCGAATAAATGTGAGAATAATAAAGGAACAAGAATATTTACTGCACCTAACATTCTGGTCTAGAGTGAAACTACAACTCGTCATCTTATACTTAGATCATTGATGAGTAGCTAAGACACATTTTAGAGTGACACAGGACATCAGCGTCAAACAAGAAAATGGGTATTGAGGCAAATCACAACACAGTGACCTCGCATAACCGAATCAAAATCCTCTGCAAGCGCTGCGCGAGAAATAAAAAATAAAAAATACATAAGTCGGCATCTGTTGTTTTTCCACCTAGCAGAGTCTGACTCTGACAGTATTTTTAGAGACTTTTGCATCTGCCGCTGCTTCTTGGACGGGTGAGTCCTGCAGGATGGACGTGGGGCGCCTCACTCAGACTGACGTTCCTCGTGGCTGTGGCGCCATATGCGGAGCTGCCCACTTTACTCCACGCATGGCTGGCTCCCGTCATTAGCAGAGAGTTAAATAAAAGCAAATTAGGATAAAAAAAAAAAAAAAAAAAAAACGAGTTTGCCCTTAAGTGGAGATCCACGTGGTCCATTGTGAATTTGCAATTAGGTTGATTTTTTTGGTTTTTTTTTGTATTAAAACATGTAATATAAATTGTCAACCCCCAACGGCAGAGTGTATTTATATTTATGTTTTTGAGCTTTTATGAGCAAAATTTTGCATACGTATCTCATTGAAGGAAGATATGAAGACTCCGAACCCTGCAGCTCGTATTTGTGCTTAATTTCCATGACTCAGCGCGACGAGGAAAATGAAGTTTGTTGAATAATCATGATTTCTGGGGGGCGTATTTAAGGCACTACGATAATGGCACACTGTTTGTGTCTGACAGCTTTGAAATAAGTGAACTACATTTGAGTTTTTGACAAAACAAAAAAGATTAATAATCATAATCCTTCAGTTGTTCTCTGTGGGTTACAATGGGATTTAGTGAGAATTAAACACGGCCAGGTTCTGTTCCGGTTTGTAAGGAATTTCAGCTTCACTTTTCAGGGCCTTGTCTGGTAGAAATGCCTGGTTGACTCACCTTCTTCTCTGATCTGCTGCCTCCCCCTGCTGGTCAAAACAAAATCCAAACGATTCAACAAGGACGTCTGTTAAAAAAAACACCAACCAGTTACATAAAGCAGCATAAAGTGTTTAGTTAAACATCTTAGCATTTAATTTTGGGCTCGACTGGAAAGCAGCAGTGGCTCAGTCTGATATGATGAGAACGAGAATCTGTTTGAAATAAATATTGCATGCAGCTGAAGGCGATCCTTTTACTCAGCCTGAAGCAGACATTGAGGTGAAAGTTCTTATTTGCCAGAACATCTTGAGATCTGGAGCACATTTCTGAGTTTATCTGTATAGCACATTTCAGCGACAAGCGCAGTTCAAACTGCTTTACGTCGTGATATTATACAGTCGTCATTTATGAAATGGCAACAAACATTACATTTTGTCCAACGTCGTTATGAAAATTGTCAAGGAAATGCACATCAAACATGTTGACCAGTAGTTGTGTGCAAAACTTTGATATTCGGCTAATGACAAAAAAAAAACACAACGCAATTTCGCAATTGCGGCATTTCCAGTAAATAAGAAGCGCAATCAAAATCGCACGTGAATAAGTTTGTGTACACGATAAGTTGTTAATAAACATGCCACGCTGATGTCCTTCAACTATTTCCTGTCGTCCTCTTGGTCATTCCTCCAGTAGTAAAATCCAGCTGTCTTGCAGTTTTCTGGGTAGCAGATTGGTGGTGCATAGATCGTCTTCTTTTTGTGTGACGGATACTCATTCAGCCCCTTCAGACTAGCCAGCAGCCATTAGTAAACACCTGATCGTACTGCTAAGCTCATATGAGTTACGTCTCAGTGAAATGCTGGTAAAAACTTTGCTAACGTGTAAAGCAGAGGAGTGATGTGATGACTTCCTGAAGGCGCAGTTTCAGAAAGCGGGTGCTTCTTAAAGAGACAGAAGCCCAATTTTAAGACGGTAAATTACAATGTCAAACTTCTTTTTAAGTCATGTTTGATGTGCAGCATAACAATTGTAGGTAACATAGTTACTGGAAGCTGGAAGACACAATACTTCCCTTTTAAGGTTTAGTTGTGGAAATAAATGTAATAAGGCAATTTTTGCTGTATTTTTTTAATATATAAATTAAGGTAACATCCCTGCACGTATCTATTCATTCGCCTTTGTCCAACCATCGTCCCTTTCCGATTTTTCACACTTAGAATTTTTGCCATTAGGAAGCATCTGGAAAACTTCCGGAGTTGATCGGAAAAATCCTCCTCTCCAGCAAAATCAGTCGGCTTTTTCAAGACGACGTCGGGCCGTCAGAGGCTCTCACGACGCACCCGGAGCAGATGGGCCCTTTTAAACCCTCCAGCATGACGTTCTTCATCCGCTCTGCTTTCATCCTCCCTGAGAGGAGCCGCCACAGGGAGGCGCCGCAAGCAGATGTCTGAGCACATCCCCAGCCAGCGTCTGTTTCACAAAATAAAACATTACCTCTGCGCTCTGTGGGACTCGACAGATTTTCCTCACGCGAAAACCTTTTCGTACGAAATTGTATTTTAATTCAAGAATCCTCCCTTGAAGATGCTCTGCAGTTTGTACAAAAATACAATTATTAATAGTAAGAATGGAATCAATTTTAATATGTTGATGGTGGCAATGCAAAACCCCAGATTCAATTATTTGAATTTGCTTAGAAACAAACCTCAACAGCAAAAGGCGGCCTACGTTTTAGGCAGATTAAGACATTTCTCGTCAATATAAAAGTCTTGTGGGAGGAAAACAAGGCATCTTGATCATGACAGTTTGGTTCTGTCATGAGGTTTTAATCACTTTTCCCATTTCGGAAACAAAAGAAATTGAAACTAATAGTTTTTCTCAGTGTACACATGGCCCAATCTTGCGGCGTCTTTTACATCGTTCCCTTACGAAGGACCTATTGCACACCGTTTCAGTTCCGCGCTCTCCTTCCTTCTCGATTCAAGGTGTCATGTTAAAGTCTCCCACAAGAAAAAAAGATCAGAAGAAATCAAACGCCTCAACCAGAGACGGAGGCATGCGGCGAGAGGAGCTTATGAAACATGTGTTCTGCTTGAAGTCAAACAAAAATGCTGGATAAATGCCATGTAATACGGTGTTAAGGGCTTTGCGGGGCATGTCTTTCTTTTCAAAGTAGATTATAAAAGTCAAGGTCAAGATGATCGCTTCTTCACAGCTGCGTAGCTGCCAGATCAGAATGTAACTTAATAACGGTAACGTTGAGCTCTACTTTCAATCAGATTTTTTATTCTCTTTTGGAAACTTTTATTCTTTTGTTTCTGGCACAAAAAGAAAACGGCCTTTGTATTGCTGTTTTGGGCGAACGCTCCTTCTAGTTTTGGATGCTGTGCAGTTGATTTGATTTCGTCCTTTTCACACTTTCTCATCCAAATTTGTTCTGCGTAACCACAGCAACAAGACGGTTTACAGCAGGTGATTGACACCTGCAAAAGCTGAAACAATGGCACTACTGAAGCCCCCACATGCCAGAGGAGTTGAAAAGTCGACATGGTGGATACAGAGCAGGAGAAAAGGCAGGAACTTCAAACCATCTCTTCCGTCAATCATAACGGCCAACGTGAGACCATTAGCTAGCAAGCTGGACGAACTTCAAGCCTCGAGAAGGGAATGCGGTAAACTCTCAGCAGTAAGTTTCTGCCTCCAGTTCGGCTGTGTTATTTCGGCACCTGCTTACGTTCCACTCTCAGCTGTTGCTGTGATGTCATCAGCTCGGTTGTTGCTAAGCTACAGCCGCGACGCCTCGTTGCGCGTGCGGGAATCTCCGAGCAGATTTTTCTCTGCTTTTAATATGAACATCCTGTTCAGAGACAACCTGTGAGAAAGCTGAAGATGCCCTGTGGGGTTGTTGTGAGGCCACTGATTGGATTGCTCTGTGGCAGCCTCATCGTTTTGCTGAAAAACAGATGATCACATCTGGACACAGGGAACCTTTTACTTTTTCCTTGTCTGTAAAAGAAAATTTACATTTATAATTTACATCTTGCTATGTCTGTCTGCTCTCCTGCCAGTTTTTCCTACCACTCAACTTTCTGTTGAGCTCCTTGAAGACAACACTCTGGAAAAATGCATAGTGAATTTTTGGGGGATTTTTTTTAACTTTTTGAGCTGAATTATGTAAGCGTCTTCCTTATCCCACACCCTAAAAGAAGTCATGTAGCATTGGGTCATAAATCATCAATGTTCAGAAATATTGTTGAAGCCATCAGACCTGCTAAAAGGTTTGAAGGCATTTTCATATTCATCTGATTATACAATCAACAGTTGGCTGTTTGAGGGGGTAAGGTGGGTGACACCCGACTGGTCCATCCTCTTCCTCGCTCCTCCTCATCCTCTTCATCCTCCATGCTGTGTTTGGTGACAGGATTTCAGCGCAGACCTGCTGTGTGCTTCTTCTTCCTTTCTTTTTCTTTTTTTTTTCATTGGAGGCTGAGTGGAGGAGTTAACAGAGCTCCTGCAGACATTTTCTCCTCTTCTGGGATCTCCACTGTAGATACGGACAGCCCTATTTGCTGTGATTTCTCCCGGCGAAAGCCCCCCCTCTCACCTCCCATCTCCGCTTGACCTGAAGCGGAGAAAAAGGCGCATTGATTTTTTATTTATTTTTTTAATTCCCAGTCGTAGCCGGGACTACCTGTTTGCTTCCCCCCCCCACCCCTCTTCTCCCCCCTCTGGGTTGCGCGAGCGTCTGTCTCCCCGACTCGGTATCCGCTGAACGGCGCCGCTCGCGCTGTACACCTACTGACCTACTTTGTGTTAGTTGGGAGGGAAAAGAGCCAGTTGAGGCGGCTGCGTTTTTTTTTTTTTTTTTTTTTTTTTTTTGTTGTTGTTGAAAGAGATGAAAGGTGTCGCGGACACAGCGGTGACCCCGCGGGGAGAGCTCCAGTGAAACAGAGCCAGAAAGTCGAAAGGGGGAGAGGCAGCAGGAATGGCCGCGTCTCGCCACCTGGACCCCGGGCTACCGCTGCCGCTGCCGCCGCTGCTGCTGCTGCTGCTGCTGCCGGCCTGCTGGAGAACCCCGGCGATGGTCGGTGGAAGTGAGTCCCTTCGTTTTTCCGAAACAGTGAATAATAACGCACTGTGCCTAAATATAGCGCGCCGAAGCTGCTGGTTTTAATTCCGAATTCGGTTGAGTTGATTTTCGCCGACAAAAACAACAATAAAAAAAAGGCTCGGGCGGAAAACCATAAAGTTAATTTCTTTTACTTGTTTAATTCAAAATGTGAAACTCGTACAATACTACATGCATCGAGCGTTAAATAAATGAATCATTTTATAGGATTATAGCCTTCACCTTTGAAAACTGATTCAAGTGGAGGTCTGTTAATGGAAAGTTAAGTGGAAGAAGAAAGAGTTTTACAACATTATGAAAACATAATGTGATTTTTGGCTGTGATTCTGATCTCGGTTGCTAAGATCCATATTAGATGAAAGCAAAACAAACCATCCAAGTGCCCAAATATTTCACATAAAAGCTTCACTTTGATATATGGTACCTATTGACATAATTTCAACTTCATTTATATTTAAGAAAAATCAAATTTTGCTGAAAATGTTAATAAGATCATTGTAATACCTGCTTTACTTCTCAACTTTATATTTAAGCAATAGTCACGCAACATTGTGTGATTATGAATGTGGTCTCATCGGGAGTAATTGCATGTGCTGAAGCGCAAAAGCGATATTTAAAGTAATTCTGATTTTCTTTTTCTTTTTTTTAAGCACCTAAATGTAGAAATGCATGCGTGAAGATTTGCGCATCTTTATTTGATCACATCTCATACTTTGTGCACATGTGTGACACATTGACAGCGCTTCAAGTTTTTTTTACTGAACCACATAAAGTTATTCTCATAGCTTGATCTTGCTTTGAGTACTACAAATGTAAAATAAAGCAGAACTGTGAGCACTTCCACAGTCCCACAAGATTGAAATAGCTAAGAAAAAAAAAGAATGCTGAGGCTCTGGTAGTTGTTGAAAATATTATTAAATTTAACAGAGCAGAAATTGACACATATAAGCTTGTATTTCCTAATCTCAAACATCTTGTCAAGCTACATTAAATGTGCAAAGCAAGTCATAGACTGTTAAGATTTAATTTTGATGTTGTACCTGCTCACTTTTGTGTGCAGCTTAAATTCAAAGCACTACTGAGGCACTCATATTTGTAGGTGAGTATGACACTTGTTCATGTGGCATGACTGCACATGCTGTGACAAACTGGACTTCACAAGCAGGACCAGGAAGTTCTGATGCTGTGAAGTGTTGTACTCGTCCTGTTGTGTGAGCCCGGTCCTTTAGCGTTTCGTAGCTGTTGCAATAAAAAAGGAACAGTGCAGAGCGTTGATACAAACTGAGAAACAGGAATATTTCAGACATTGAAGCGTAATAAGTATCTCAAATAATTTATTTTGACTCAGTGATTCCTTACCGCTAATAGAGCAATCAGAGCAGATCCGTGCCGTATTGGATGACTTGTCGTTTTCCTCGAGCTACTAGCCAGACACACATATCGACTCTTGATGCCAAGTAGCAAAGTTTTCTCACCTTCACTTCGGATTCTTGGGGCGTAATGAAAACTTCTCTTTACAGTTTTCCATTTCCTAAACATTTGCTCTAAATTTCAGTATTCTGGCAAATCAAAAAAGGGGGTTTTCATTGGATATTGTCGGTGGTTGCAGGAATCAAAAATCCAGATGTCATCTGCGTACAGGTTGACAGTGACGTACCTTTATAAGTGTACACCGGTTGTTGGTGATGCGTTCTCTGGCAAAACAAATTCTACTAGATCTTTTAAAAATCAATTTCTGCCTTTGATTAGTTCAACTGGAACAAAAGTTTGAATGTTTATTAGTAATGAAACGCAGGCATTTAAAAAAATATTTAGATGCAACTTTTGAAATAAAAAAATAAAGTCCAGAAACCACTGGTCATGACCGCATCAAAATTTTACAGAACAGTACTTCTGTTCATTTCATGGTTCTTCATAAACTTGGCAAAGGTTTAGAAACTGGTATTAATGAACAAAAGCAAACTTTTATCTGCTCTCCTTGCTAAATATCAACGTTCTGCAATGAACTCTAATATAAGACGTTAACTTGACTTAAACAGCAGATACCCATGTGTGCAATGAAATCAGAAGCACCTACAGGTGCAGTTATTAACGCTCCGCCGGGGAAACCTGCATCCGTCTGGCGCTAGCATGCATTTCATTCCGACACTTGCCACCTACATGCAGATTTTTAACGACCAGTCCAACCCCCACATGGCAACAGCTCTCCCCGACTGTAGCAACCCACCCTCAGCTAACAGTACAAATCACAGAGCCACACGGATGACTGGTTTTTCTTGTGTTTGGACTGGATTTATAAGGTTGTGACGAGCAAGTCCATTGGTTTTCAGTATGAAATATTGCCTTTCTTGTCCCCCACACCCAAGATGACATTTTTTTTAGGATCACAATAACAATTGAGGTTATTTTTAGAAAACACCTTGGTGAATTCGTAAAAGTGCCAATGTCATTAAATACTGTTTGACTTGAACACATTTTTCAAGTGGAAGGCTTTGATTTTTTTTCAAAGTCCAGCCTCTACAGGAATGAAACGTGACTCACTGACGATCAGCTTGCTGCTTCCTGCATGTTCACATTTGCCTCCAAGCGCAAAATGTCCACTGGAAGTCAAATGTGAATTCAAAACCTCCATCAAGAGGCAGTTGTATTTTCAAAATGAGGGAATTATGACTCCAAAATGACTTTCCCTTGAGGAAAATGCAAATGCGAGAGAAAAGTGATCAGTTTCTTTCAGTCGCAACTTTATGATCCAAATGTATCATAATTTTGGGTCATTTTTATTTTTTCACTTGAAGTTGTGATATTTTAAGAACTGAAGATCTTCTTAGGCAGTGTCTTGCATAGGTTTTTTATTGTTTTTTTTAATGTTATGTTTTCTGCAAGTTTTGAAATTGAGAGAAACTCAATTAGAAGGAGGAAAAAGGAAGTTGTGATCATTTTAATTATTCTGGTTCAAGAATTCGCAAAATTCTATTAAAATTATCCTCAGATTAAAAAAAAAATTTTTTTTAATTTTTTTTAAAAGATGGGTATCTTCATAAACAGTTTACAACAGGAATCTATTATACCATCTACAGCTCAGAGTGCAGGACACAAACACAGTTTCACACTAATATGCTTGATTTAAAGTTGCAGTACATAACTTGCATGACTTATGTTTTCTATGCTAAAACAACCAACATGTCCTGACATTATTATGTGAGGCAGAATTTTTCTAGGGGGAGCAGCCCACACGTGGACATGATTGACAGCGCTCCAATTGGTCGTTTTAGTCAGCACTGGGAGAAGTTCGAGGCGCTCTTTCATTTATTTATTTGTTTTTTTCAATAATGTACCGTCGTGACGTAGTGACAGTTTAAATAAATGTCAGTTTTTCTTTATAAAGGCCACAAACTGCAGCTCTAATGCAAGTGGAGTCTCTGTTTGCAGCTTATATTTCAACCAGACAAAGTGGTCTGGGGAAAAGTGCGAAGGCCGCAGCAAACAGGTCATCAGGTGGTCCAGACTGGCCTCTTCCACACTCCCTGATTAACGAGCTGCAGCAGCAGTGTGCTTTAATCACCCGCGGCCGGCTTCCTGCTTGTTGGTCATTGTTAATCGGACTTTAGGACGACGATGCCAAACCAGCGCTCTTCGTCTTGGCAGAACAAGACGAATCCTATCGCGCTCATGAGCCTCCGCGTGGATTTGTGCAGTACGGTGCACTTTTCATTTTCCATCACAAACGCCTTGGCTTCGCTGCGGCTTACCCTCCCGCCACCACTTTTGGTGCAAATGGAAAGAAGGGATAGGGGAATATTCAACCACCTGTGTTATTTCCCTGTTCGATAAATCCCAAACATCTGCTCGAACGCGGCGGCACACAGCTGAATCTAGGTTATTTTTAGAAATATGAAAAGCGTGTATTTAAAGCCGTGGAAGGGCTTGGAGCATCGGCGGAGGCTGTGGCCTTCAGGGGACAAAAAATTTTTTAAAAATCACAATCAGAGCTCTAAAAACTCAGCAAACTGTTATCAGTAAACTAAAACACCAATATTTAAATGAACTCCAAGGTTGAATTACACACAAGGCCACACAAGAGTCTTTAAAACGAGAAGAAAGCTGTTGTGCAGATGTCATTAGGAAGGAGAGTGGAAGACATCACAAATATGCGCCGGCTGTGGAAGCAGGAGGGTTGTATTGATGCGCAGCAGGGCGAAGACGGTTTTTGTTTCTCTGTCTCACTGTGGGGCTCTGAATCTCTCTTCTCCACACTGTTGCTGTCGCCATCTTTATTCCTCTGTAACACCCAAAAGCTTGAGCATTCTCCTTTCCTCCTGTGTGTTTTTGTTAATTGTGCTGGCAACACCATTTCGCCTCTTCTAGGATGGGCACCTGACTGCAAGGTCAAGTTGATTTTGCAGCTCATTTCCGTTTAATGCATTTTCAGAGTTAATGTGCTATTGAGGCTATTGAGCATAAAATGAGTGCAAATTGTAGTTGTCGTGCATAAGTGGGTCTGTATGTGAGGGCGGAAGGAGACTTCAGAATAACAACGAAAATACAAAGTGATCCGGTAGAAAAATCTATCGTTTTTAATGTCTACTCGTGTGAACAAAAGTATTCACATGTGATGTTAATTCTCAATCAAGTTTTGCGTACATTCGTGATGGAAATGCAGCTAGAGGTGGCATCAGGGGCACATTGGCCAAACTAAAATGAAAGAGAGGCACAAACAGCCAAAAGGGACTACCGATAACTCGAAACAGGCAATTGTATCCACAAGATCCAACAGTAGGTAAAAAAGACCACTGAGAAATATTTACCTACATCAAACTCTCCCTAGAGTTTGTCGCTCTAGGGAGAGTGACAAACACAAAAACTTGGACAAGATTGAAAGCCAATTGACCAACACATGCAAATGTGAAAACGACCCCCAATAGGGAGGTTTGAAAGCAAAACAATTGGAAGGGGCAAATGTGAAAACTAACAGAACAAGGAAGAACCAAATGTTAAAGCAAAATTACCAACCAGACTATCATCATACCAAATGATCACAAAAAGACAAATTTAAAAACAAATTAACAAGAAAAAAAAAGATACATCTGCGAAAACAAATGAATAAAATGCACATTTACAGAAATTAACAACACCGAGACAAAAAAGTGACCATCAGACGGTCACCAAAAAAGTACTGTGACTCAACGGAAGGCAGACACTTGGACGGAGTTTGTATCTTGATAGAGCTGGAATGTTTTCATAATAAACTCAGGATGAGCATGTCTGTTCAGTATTCATAGTTTGTCAGGACGTTGTACAGCATGGACACTCAGACTCCAACACGTGCGCAGACATCCATCCATCTTTACAAAGTGGTGGGAAGCCATTACCCAGATTAAGCTGTCCAAGTCTATTAGCTAACTGTTGCATCAGCGTGATCTACAGTCCACCGTCCGACTCCACTTGTACGTCACCAATTACTCTACGCTGGGAGGAGAGGTAAACATCTATTATCACCAGGCTTATTTTGGGTTTGATTACCCTGGTCTTGTTGAGGGCAACAAAAAATCTCAAGCTGGGATTTGCTTGGAAATACATATGCTGAACTTAGGGTAAGATGTACAGCTGACCTGGGTGAAGTTTTACAGAACGCCGGTTTCATGTTCCCGAACCTCACTCTCTATCCCGGCTAACAAACATGGTGACTTTTGGCGGGGTTGCCAGATCTGACAAACGCAATATAAGCCCCATCCAAAACACACACACACACACACACACACACACACATGCCCTCTCAACTTTATATTGAGAGTGCAAAATGACTTGTCTCTTGGAAGACAATCAGTCTTCCTGACAGTGGACTTTTAGGAAACGTCTTCAGGAGCTTCTTAAAGAGATATTGGCCCAATTTTAAAGTGCTAAATTGCAAAGTCAAATATCTTTTAAGTCGTATTTGTTATAAAATTATATTATGTAAAATACATACGGCTCCACGTTTAATAAATCACTTAATTCTTTCTATTTTGGCCCTCCGTATTTTCTGCTCTTTCAGACCATTTAAAAAATGAATTTATAAAAGTTCATTAATAAATTAAATTAAAGTTCAGACGGGCAGATGGATCGATAGTTTCGACAAATGCATAAATGCATAAAAAGATGGATGATGACTAAGGCAACGGGACAGGGCGTCGTCTTATTTTTCAAACCCCCATCTTTCCCATCCTGAGTAGAGCAAGAGCTCAGCATTTGTCACGTAAAAAAAACTCTCACAGTCAGTCAGACGTCCTGAATGGGCTGCAAGCATTAACATGGTGTTTACCCACCGTTACTGTTGTGTTGTGATCCTAAGGACAAGATGCTGTGAATTGCACATCAACGCCTTCCAATTAGAGCCTCCAAGCATATCATTCGCAGAGCAGCAGAGCTTGATTTAATGGAGTTTCAAATTCCTCCTGCTCCAAGCAACTTTCAGCTGAACTCGTCATGCACTGGAATTTGTTCAAACTGGTAAGAGCTGAAAACAATCGGAGGTCAAATGACGGCGGCTTTGTGTCGTCAACATTTCTACACCTCCAGGGGAAGATTTTTGTGGGAAAATGGAGGACATGCGGAGATTGACGAAGACAAACATGTGTGCACCTAATGCAAAGAGGCGCGACGGGAAGGCATTCCTCCTACACGCTCAGAGCCGCGTTTCACGCTTCCTGCCAACGACAAACGAGATCCCCCTGAAGACTCGCTACGCCACGGTTGCTGCAGCCCACCGCCTTTCATCTGGCAGCGCCGAATGGGCTTCTGCAATTACATTACATTACACACACACACTGAGACGGAGTCAGTAAGACGGAGGACAAAACAGATGGAGAACAAAGGGAAGTGGATGGAAGATGATGGATGGGAAACAAATGAAGGGCAGAAAAAAGGGGGGGGGAAGCTATAATTTGCAGCCAATATCAAGAGGTGGTGATTTTCAATCTTTTCTGGTTTTGATGAGAAAAGTGCGTTGATAGACAAATGGACCTCGGTGGGGGAAAAAAAAGGGGAGAGGAATGTGAGCGATGATTTTCTAGCAGCTCAGATGGCCATCGGAGCACACTCTGTTCCTGCCTGTCCTTCTCTGCTCTGTTAGTCTGAATTACATATTTATAACCAATCATTTTTTATTTTCTTTTAAAGGACACGTTTAGTCATCTGCTGCTTTTAAGTGCTCCACGCTAAATCATGCTAACATGACAATGGAGACCTCCACTAGGGAGAGTGACAAACACAAAAACTTGGAATAGTTTCCAAGTTGTTCACCTGTTGTCAAAATCATATCTTCTGGTTCAGATTCCTACAGAAATATGACTTGACTTTCTCATTTAATGCCTTGAAATTGGGTCTCTGTCTCTTTAAAAACTCCTGCTCTTCCTGAAACGAAGTCATCACAACATGGCTCGTCTGCTAACCCGCTGAAGTTTTCACTTGCATTGCACTAAGTAGTAGCTCCTGTAATGTGCAGCTCCAAATGGCGTTTGCTAATTGCTGCCAGCTAGTCTGAAGGAGCCGAGGCATTTAACACAGCTTAATGGTTGCCACGGGAGACTACAGGATTTCTCAGACATGACTGAAAGAATCAAGACTTCACTCCAGGTGTGTTTGTGATGAGGAGATAAAATAATAAGATCAGAGAAATTTGAAAAAAAAGACTATGAAGGAACAAGTTTTCACCTCGCCGCATTTTTTGTCATAAATATAAATCTCAGCTTTTGAAGTTTGCTTCATTAATACTTAAGCAAACATTCGTTTTTTGGGTGTAATTAAAAAAAAAAAACTTCAGTAGATGCAGCAACTTCAGTAGATGCGTTTGCCTCCTTTTGCATCACCACTCGTTCCCATCTGACGTCTTTGCGTCGTCGTGTTATGTAATCACTCCCAGCTCCAAAAACATTTACAGACGGGCTCAAAAGAAAAGCCGCTAAGACGTTAAGTTTCATCTCCCAGATGATAAGTCGGAGAGACGTTGTCTTACAGTGAGAAAATGTCACAATTTGTATCAGCAAATAGACGTTAGCCTCAAAATGGCCGCCTGTTTTCTTCTCCCACCTTCCCGGCCTGCTTTCATTCAGTCGAGCGGCGCTTCCGGGACGCAACGGTTTGGTAATCCTTTCCCATCAGCCGCCAGCCGGCGCTCTGGGAGTATCTGATGGAACGATTCGCCCCCGGAGGTTACGGCTTTCTTCTGTGGAACCTTGTGCCTTTTATTTTAATGAGTCTGGAGCTGGTGTATGCAGAGAGCAGAGGATGGCAGAGTTCTTAGCCTGACGTGTCGGGAGCTTTGGAATTAGCTCGAACTGATCTGATCTGTGTGACTATTTGGTGAGTTTGTGTGGGTGGTAGGACTTGTGTCTTAGCCAGGCTGGAAATGAGTCATCTCATCTGTTCCCGGAACAAAAAAAAAACATAATTCTGCTGCAATAAGGGGCGACCATTCCATTTCCTTAAGCACTTAGCAGTAATGATCCAATTTGGGCATGTTGGATGCTCATGTAAAAAGGACTGAGGAAGGAAATGGGTCATCTCGTTACCTATTGATTTTTTTTTCATTCTCACCACAATCACTTAACCTTTCGGGTTAGCAAATGTAGGTAAAGTGGAATTTTGTACAACCCAAGGCGATGGATGGATAAACAGATGAATTGTTGAATGAATTTTGAGGTGAATGGATGGAAAGAAAATCCAAGAGCAGCATTCTCCACTAATTAACATCGATGCAAATTCCCTGACTCTAATTGGGCTTTTGGCTGTTGATGCCCTAATTGGCCGCAGTGGAGACCCTTTGACTGCCTCTTTCTCCTGCTTCACACACAAACATCGCAGGGACACACACTTCCAGCAGGCGCACACTAATTGCCTTCTGCAGCTGGAGGAGCTGAGGAGAAATATGCAATTCTGTTCCTGTCGCTCTCTCAAAAAGTAACTGAAGTGGATAAACTGGACCGATCGATAGCTATTGACCCACTGTAAAAACCGAGTGATGGATGCTGTGATGAGTTTTTAAAGCAGCGAGAAGGTCACTGAATAACGTCAGGGTTTCCTTTCGCGTCTGCTTTTGTTTTTGTGTTTGCTTTCGTTTTTGCGTCTCTGTCGAATCTTGCCTTGAATGTTGTGTTTCATGCGCCAGATTCACTGATGTGGAGAAATCATCTGAATGATTTATAAGGCTCTATTTTTCAATTTTATCTCCCTTTGTACTTTTATGCTAAAACAACAAAGCACAGGCTGATAACAGTAAGGCTTAACTGGGTTTAAACTTCTAGGTTGCTTCACCTGTTTTTGTATTTGCTTTTTATCTTATTTAATTTTTTTTTTATTGTTGCTTGCTTTTGAAAGTCAAATCTTTTGCCTCATCGATCATCTTTAGGACTTTTTACCAGGAGTTTTCCATCAATGAATCCCATCAATAAAAAGTTGCCTCGGTGTCCCTGTGCCTGGTCGTCCTGACAGCCCGTGTGTGTGTGTGTGTGTGTGTGTGTGTGTGTGTGTGTGTGTGTGTGTGTGTGTGTGTGTGTGTGTGTGTGTGTGTGTGTGTGTGTGTGTGTGTTCACAGCTGTGCCAGCGGCGCCCGTGAACGTCTCGGTGACCCAGCTGAGGGCGCACTCAGCCATGGTGACCTGGAACGTTCCTCAGGGTGACACGGTCATCGGCTACTCCATCTCTCAGCAGGTACGTTCGGCCTTCCGTGTCCTCGTCCCTTCGCTTTGCACAATGGGAAGACCTGGAGCGCTGCCACCACCGGGAGGGGCAGCGGCCGCTAACGCCGCCGCTCCGAAAATGAATTATAGATTTCTTTGTGATCTTCTCTGTCCCATGAGGGGCGGGCAATTCTCCACTTTGTCTGCAGGACTTTAAAACGCTGCGTCATTTTATTAGCCCTGCAGGCAACCAGCAATTTGCTCAGAAACACTTTGAGGGGGTTCGCTCGTAAACATTTAAATCGTCTAAAGGTTTGTTGAAGTCAGCGCCGGCTGTGGAGCCACGCTGGTCACCGTCAGAAATAATGAAAAGCACTTTTCTTGATTAAAACCTGCACAAGCATCCATTTATGGAGAAAAAATTAAGATTAACTGTAGATCAGGGTAAAAAAAAAATCTGAGAAAATGTTCAACTTTTAATGTTTGTTTGAACTTAAGTATCACGTTTTCACCTTGAAGAAAAAGTGCCAAAAATATCTTTAAACAGCCCTTTTAAAGCCGACTTGCAAACTTTAAACTTATTAAAGTTATTAAACACAATCTTACCTGTTGCATCTTTAAAAAAAAAAAAAATTTCCACCTGAAACTAGAGCTAACAAAGCGGGCCCGCATCATGACGGGACCTCTGCTGTGCCTCAACGCAGGTTGGCTCGTATTCCACCCTACGGTGTGTTTCATATTGCTGCGCTCTCCGGCCAATCGGAGCTGTAATTACTCCAAATGAGTCGCGCTGCACTGCAGTTTTTCTGCGGATCAATTCTCCTGTTACATCACCCCCTTCTCGCCTCGCCCGCTAACTCAGCTTGGCTCATTTTCATCCGTTTTTTTTTTTTTTTTTTTTTTTTTTTTCTATCGTCTTCTTCTTCTTTCAACCACCTACTGTCTTTTGGCAAACGGGGAATCGGACATTAGCTGACTTCTGAATTCGAGCCGTCCCCATTAGCGCTAATGATTTTGGCTCCGACTTGTCCTTACAGGAGGAACATCTCCGACGGCTGCGCTGCCAGAGCCGCTTGTTGATTTTTCCTGTTCTTCTTCTTCCTGTTCTTCTGTTTTTAAGCTTCCAGGTGGTGTTTGGAAGAAAACACTAAACGAGGATGTAAACCGTCTCTTGCCACAACCTCAGATGGCTGTTATGTAAAAGCCTTGCTCAAATATTAATGGAGGAGGGCGATGGGAGCAGGTAGATGCAGCAGCTCTTCTGCCGTTAGTCATCAGGATCAGGAGGGGGCTCTACAAAGGAGCAACGCTGCAGTTATATAAAACGCCAATCATCAGCCACTCTTTATTCTGCAAGAAATAACAAAAAAAACAACCGTCCCTTTAAAATCCGTTTGCTTCCTGGTTTAATTAGCGGCTGCTTCATGAGATTGCTTCCCTCTCCGCCGCGTGTGAAGAAGCAGGACGAGGGAACAATCTCTGACGAACAGTTGCTGCTTCGCTCGTCTGAAGCAGCTGGAAATCCCAGGGCGCCCCGGCTACCGAGGTTCACACAGCCCCGCGCTCCGACAGGAAGCAACCCGGTTTCATAACCGCGCTTCTGAGACTCACCGGCGAATCTCGTTTTGACATCCCGCGAACCGTCAAAAAGGCCGACGTTCGTCAAACGAGCCGGGCCTGCAGGATTGTAAAGACTCTGCCTTGTTCGTCTTGCCAAACATCCGATTTACTGAACATCCGACTTCTTCTCTACCAGTCGCACTATAAATAAGTCTGCTTTAGGTTTATTTTTACCACTTTGGCTCCAGCAGATGAGTTATCAACCGCAGGTGGGAGGTTGCCGTGTTCAGAGGATGGAGGTCGAAAGCGTTTCCTGAAAGCTTCAGCAGCTAAAAGTTCCTCAGGGACACAGCATTAGTCGAGGCGTCGAGTGTTTGATGTGGATTTTTTCACAAAATTATTATTATTTTTTTTAAATGACATTGGATTTCAGATTTTTATTTTGTTTTTGTGCAGATGAAACCAAATAAATGTGGTTATCATTGACAAATGAGCACTCGGTATTTTTGTTGGCTCCTTTCTGAATAAATTGCTGCCCGTAGTTCTGCTGAGGCGAACATTGTTGCGCAACAGTAGGTCTGGTTGAGCTGTAAATAACTTATTAAATAACTAGTTTTGCTTTTTTAAAGCCTCACTTGACTCCAAAGCGTTGTGAATAATATTATTTGAGCGCCACCGGTCCAATACGGTAGTCCGCTTCAGCAAAGCTAACTGAAGCTTTAGCTTAGTTAGCCTAGTTAATGTTTAGCTTGGTCACAAAAAGGGACATTTTAGCTCATTTTTAGGACTGTTTTATATAACCTCGTGTCAAGTTAGGATTAGCAGAGCTTAGGATTCATCTCTGCCCCGTGACAACCTCTTACTTTGGTCCTCCCTGAGTGGAGCAAAGCGGCTAGCCTGGAGCGAGATCAGAGTGGACTTCTACTGTCGTAAACCAACTCAAGTCTCAAAATATATCAGAGCTGTTTATGCCAAGTCAGTCGCTATTGCTGTATAGACCATGAAAACATCACGCTGGACCTTAAGCAGCTTGAATAAACTGACTCAAGCCACAGTGTATTTAATGCGAATCACCCCAAAGTCTAGAATTCTCTCAGTAGTTCATCCTTCCACTAAACTTTCCATTAATGCTGCTTCTACAGTGGTGATCTTTTGGAGTCAGTCAGGAGTCTCCTTTGTGATCTGCTCTTATGCAGAAGCTGAATATGAGATTTTGTAATGTGAGCTGACTGAAAACTCAAGAACTTGTTTATGATATCCTAATTTACGGAAACTCACCTCTGCATTCTATTCTACCATATTTCCGTATCTTCCTGAAATCGGGCCTGTTATGGGCTCTCTGCACTTTGCGGATTAGATTTTCTGCAGCTCCTTTCAGAAGCCATTGTCTTCCTTCTCCAGAGTTGGCCCCTGTCGGAGAATCGCTGATTGGCGAACCTTTTTAAGTCCTAATACGCGTCACGAAGCATCTCATCTCGGAGATGATAAAAACCTCCTTCTGTTGATGTGTCGCCTGCAACGCTGCCAGAGGCGCAGGGGACGGCCTGATTCAGACATCTGGAGAGCCCAGAGCTCGCCGTCAGCCGTTTTATTTATTGACTTTCCCTCAGCTTTTCGTTCTCCGCAGACACATTTATTAGACGGGAGGCTGAGCTTTCTGCTGGCCTGATATTAAGAAATCTTTAATCCAGAGGAGAGGAAGGAGTTTATGAAGTTCAGCGCCGTGCTTACCTAGCAGTTGGGTTAAATCTCTGATGAGCAAACACTTCCGCTTCACGCTCAGTGAGCTGGAAATAGGTTTCCAGCTCGTTTCTTCAGTTTTTCCTTCTGAGCAGCCAGACTTTCTTGTAGTCTGATCACTATAATTGTAGTTTTTGACTCCAAACACTTTACGTTTTGTGTCAGTGCATAATGAACTGCATCTGAACCACTGGCAAAGAGCAACACTGCCAACACCGTGCTGGAATCGAGCAGAAAAAGTGAGGAAATTGTCTTCCTGAGAGTTAGCTGAGCATCGTGTAGCATGTCAGCATGTCAGAAGGTGAAAACTCACAATAAAGTGAGTTTTTGGCGTTCTTTTTATCCGCAGAGGCAGGACGGCCTGATGCAGCGCTCCATCCGAGAGGTGAACACGTCCAGCCGCTGGTGTGTCCTCTGGGACCTGGACGAAGACACACACTACAGCGTCCAGGTATCCCGTCATATTGAATTTGAATCCACCGTCACCGTTTGAATCAAACACTACGGCATTTTCAGCCTGAGTGAAGATGACCGAGAAAATAAATATGTTGCCCCGACTTTCATTTCAAATCCATTCAGGTATATTTTCAATTTAAATGGAAGAATAATGGAAAATATACTTTTTTGAGCTTAACATCATGTTTTATGATTCCCTCATCCAAAACAAACCTGGAGTGTTGCTTTGAGTCTTTCATGAGAAATCATTACGTCTCCCATGGCAACCATTCGGGGTTTTTTTTGCAAAGTCCAAACGTCACTTCATAGTGAGAGCCACAGTATTCCCTTTTATCCGAACCGAACAATATCCTCTGATTACATAACCTCAGTGTATTCAAGCACCACATCATTGGCTCAGATGGTACACTTTAATACAGTTGTATAAATTGCAGCTTGTTACCATGGAGATATTTTTTTATATTAAAGCACATTTTTAATTGTTAAGCGCAGATTAAACCGAATTACAAATATGAAAAACATCCAGTTTGGGTTCAGTCCATGTCAGAGGACTCTTACATGTGTAGTTCGGTGCCTGAATGAATCGTTTCTGCCCTAAAACTCCTCTGAAAGTTTTAGGAAATGACAACATAAAGAGAATTCAAGGCCTTAAATTAAAAGTCAAATTTCTTCACAATAATATTTGACATATGCAGCATTTTTCTAACACCTGAAGGTAACATGATTGTGCGACAAATTGGCACTGTGCAGCGGGAAACATAACACTGCCCCTTTAATGGATTATTTGGCCCAAAGTGAAGTCTAGCTCCATCAACGCACTCTCCCTCTTCCTCTGACTTCACGTCTACGTCCTCCAGCAGTTGGAGGTCCTGGATCCCAACCAAAGCCGTTTCTGAGCCAGCTTCTTACATAACGCTCTCCTCTGGTCCCGTTTGGCTGTCGGTCTGTCTGTCTGCTTAAAGGTTGTCCCTTTTCCAACCCTCCTCCCCCTCGTAGGTGCAGTCCGTCGGCCTCCATGGAGACAGCCAACCCAGCCGGCCCGTCCACTTCAGGACCCTGGAGAGAACCGACCACTATCCGGCCGGAGTCCTGGACCACCGTAAGTTCAGCTTATTTTGTGTTATTTAGCTCGAGTGATCAGTTATGAAACAAACAGTAAACACCTCCCTTTTGTCATCAACAAATCAATCACAAATGCTGATCAGTGTTTCAGTTACGACCAATCAAAGGTCGTAACTGCTGCACCACACCTGGTCATTAGCATGTGGCCCTCTGGACTCCAAATTACATTAATAAGTAAATAATTGGGTTTTTTTTTATTGCAAATGTTTCTCAGAATTGGCCAAAAACGTTGGATTTAAGTGACTGCTGCATCAGCCTCACTCGATGTCAAGTTGTGTCTGTGACTAATATGGCGATTCATTAAAAGTCGCATTTAACATCCTATATAAGTGCATATATTGTAAAAAATATATCTAAAGTAGTGCCAAAAGAATGTGTGATTTTGATTGCAACAAAAAACAATTACAAAGTCCTGGATGGATTGATCAGTGTGAAAACTTTTCGAATGAAATATTATTTAATTCTAACAAACACTTGCTGAGCTCTGAAACAACCAGCTATTTATTGAAATTTTAGCAGTTTAATGGATTTTATCAACATGGCATGGCACAAGCGGTCCTTTAAGAACGATCAGATTTTTGAAACCGAGTTTGACGCCCTTGCTGTAGATCTTCGACGTTAGTCGTTTAATCCAGGAAATGTTGGGTCAGGTGATAGAAGGCTGATTTTGTGACTGTCTCTATGTGGCTCTGAAGGTTCAGGTTCATCACTACATCCAGATTTTGGGCCTGATCTCATTCCTCTTTTGAGTCCAAATAGAAAAACTTTAGTTTTGTTTCTGTCAAGTTGGAGAGTTATATTCAGTTGGACGGTCATCACCAAGTGTGTAAAGTGTGACTTCCCGTCCCCACAGACGAACCAGCAATGGAGGGTCTGGGGATGACCCCTCACCTGCAGACCGGCGAGCTGCTCATCATCACCACCGTGCTGCTGCTGTGGGCCGGTGAGTCCGCAGGGATCTCTCGCGACCTTTGGGGCGAGAAGCGCGGCCGTTTTAACCTACGCTCTCTTCCAGCCGTCATCGCGCTCTTCTGCCGGCAGTATGACATCATCAAGGACAACGACTCCAACGGCGCCAAGGAGAAGGCCAAGAGGCCGCTGGTGCAGGCCAGCTCCTCCTACTACAACACCTCGGCGGGAAGCTCGCCCATCTACCACAACGGAGCAGTCCACAGCAGCAGGGTGAGGCGCCGTGCACTCACTCTTCTTCTGGGTTTCACAATGACTTCTGAGACAAATCATCGTTCGTATCATGACAGGCTTTTCCCAGGATGAATGAAGATTTATGCTATTATTTTATTGCACAGGAATAATAAAGTGGTTGCCATATCGGAACAAAGCATCGCCATCTTGACTTGATTTAAGGTGGTTCAGACATCTGAAAAAAGAAAACTGGCGTTGTGTGTCTGCAGTCTATAATTTGTTGCTTGGCAGCATACTTTTTTGTTTATCATGTCGTGTTTTTTGTTTTTTTTTGTTTTTTGCAGCTGCACCGAGCCTCGTCTTCCATCAGCATCATCAGAGTCTGACGTCAAGAGACTTTTCTTCTCAGGAGGAGCTTCGGCCGGACCAGCGCGGCCGCTGCGAGGGATTTCTGGAACCCGCCGCTGCAGCCGCGACTCCAAAACCGGGGGTCTGAGAGCGGGTCGGTGCTGCCCTCCGGTGGCAGACTGTGACTCTTTTTCTCTTCCCTGTGATGTCAGAGAGCAGTGAATGTTTTCCAGATTCCTCCGGTTCACCAGGACTGACGCTGCCAAGGATGGTCTTTATCGAACAACTGAGTTCCTGTTTCATCATCAGCGATTAAACGTTCAGCTTTCGTCACGGTTTGAATATGTGCATACGTCAAACAAAGGTGTCAGTGATTAACTTTAAGTGTAATCTTTGCAGTGCTGGTGAATTTACACTGTAAATATTTCAGGACTTAATCATTAAACTAAGTTCAGATTTTTTTGCGTTAGGTAACTTTTCTTTCCCGCTTGAGTTTTTCTGCGTTTATTTGACTAAAAGTGTTTACTGTACAAAGTCTCAATGAGAAAATAGATACTAAATATGTCATTTTTATGAGGTGAAATGACAAATCACTCTTTTTGACGTCCAAACTGTACCAGGATTTATTCTATAAAATGAACAAACTGAATTAGTACATGTTGGATTTTCATGTGCTGTAAACCGGAACCGTTGAAACGACCAAAAATAAACAATTGAAATATATCACTTTGGGTGAAATAGATGCTCATAATGTGCAAGTTCCAGATATTTTTAGATGACTTAATAGTACAAAAAAATATTTATATGTGAATAGCTTTCTCCACTCATTCTGTGTTTATGAATATACAATTAGTTACTGTAGATGGGGAAAACTTCCACCAAGAATAATCTCAGAAATTTTGTAGAAAAAAACTCAGATATTTCATCTTCCATAATTTAACGTTTTTGACTTTTGAAACTCAATGTTTTGTTTTTGTTTTTTTTCTAGAAATTTTGAAACATCTCAAATTTTCTGAATTTCTCCGAGCAAATGTTTGGCTTTCCAAGCCCGGAAATGTTCTTGTTAGTTTTTTTAAATAGAAAATTGCTGAATTTTGGGGGGTGAAATTGTTTTTTTGTATCTACCATGATTCTAATGCATCGTTGTATAAAAAAAAAAACCTGAACATATTCTGACTTGTGAATCTGTAGGTGTTGCTTTTCGCCAGCAGAGGGCGACATAGCGCCAAATACCGGGTTCATTCAACACCATGTTTTTTGGACTGAATCTGTGGGGAAAGCTTTAAAAATGTCACAATTTTTGTGTGTGTGTGTCTAATTCGTGATTATTGTGATGTTGAATTATTATAAGCTAAAAGCATAAAACATTTACATGTTTCAGGTGAAAGTGCTGCGGGTATCCTGAAGCGCTCCGGCAGAGTCCAGTCAGATGAGCTGCAGGATTATTTGTGCTTCATCTGAATCGCGAGGAAATGTCACCATTCACCCTGTTTGCATCGTAGAGGTCAGAGTGCACAGGAAGAAGCTTCACCTGGAGCGCTCCCCGACCTTCTGAGGGATTTTTTTTGTCTTCTTTTAGCTGCCAAACAATAGATGGAGGAGTGGAGGAATCCTCTGCGAGGTGTGAGGTAAAGATCAGAGGGAAATATCACGGCCTGCTCCGGGCTCAGAGGTGGCTTAAGGACAAGTTCTGGGTAGAAAATACAGAGAAAAAGAAGAAGAATGGAAGTGCTTTTGACTGAGGATAAATCCTCTTCTGCCGTCTGAGTGCTTCTTCTTGCAGGTACTGGAGACTGGCTGGAAGTTAATGAGGTTTTAATCTGCTGTCTGTCGCAGAACCCTTCACGCTGACATTTAAAGTCGTCATTAAGACTTCACTGGTTTTGCGTTGCAGGCGCCATAATTCACAGCGTTCTGCTTCTTACAAAGTCTTACAATTTGGAACTATCGAATCGAATATCGAATATCCTCATTCCACGACAAGGAAATGGAAAGAGTGCTTTGAAAATCCTTTTTTTTAATGATTTGTTTTGTCATTTTATAGCAATGTAATTCAGTCGTCAACTATGACTTAAAAGAAGTTTGACTGCACAATTCGCCGTCTTGAAATCGGGCCTCTGTCTCTTTAAGAAACTCCCGCGCTCTCCGTTTGGCATACGGTTGCTCCACCAGGTGTTTGCTAATTGCCGCCTGAAGATGGCGCTAAGCTCACGGAGGCTTCTTGCGCAGCCGAATGTTAATTAAAGGTGTGTTTTTGATGAGAAAATAACATTAAAGGTAATTTTTTTTTATTTTTCTTTAATAAATAGTCCTTATCCCCTCCTCCTCACTCCATTTTTTTGGTTTTAGGATGAGTGTTGCGCTGCGAGGTTGATTGACAGGCGTTCACGGAACTCCACCTCGAAGCTTCCTGTGTGGCCGCCGACGGGCACAAAGGCCGCGAATGACCCAGGTAAATGTCAGGACTCCTGGCAGAATGCCATTTTGTTCCGCCGCGAAGAGGTTCCAGAGTGGAACAGAAAGGGCAGAACCAACAATTCTTTTCAGTTTTAGCCCCCCCAAAAAATACCTTTGACAATAAAGAATGCTATCAGAGTAATTCAAGTCTTCAATCCGATTTAGTGACTTTTTTATTTTATTTTTTTATTCTTATTTTAATCAGGCAAACACCGAGAAAACCCGCGAGACCGGTCCGCTCTCAGATCAATATTTGAACGTTTCTTTGCTTGGTAACGGGGCCGATAAGAGCCGTCAGTTAATAAACATCTTATGTACCATAATTATTGGCTGAAGTATGGGGAACTGTCTTGTCTGGTCCCGGCACTCGAATTCACACTTCTAATTAAAGCCTGGCATTATTTACGGACACCTTGTTTGTGAAAAACCATCAGAAGGGTTATTAACTCCCACTTCCGCCTTTAATTTGCAGATCGGCTCTCGAGCTCGTGGTCCTTGGAGAACATTGGTTTGAAAAAAAGTAGTGAGATTAAACTGAACCCTGAAAAAAATAAAAGGCAAGCAGAAAATACATCCCGTATATCTTTAAGCATGAAAATGTGCCATTTTATTTTTATTTTTACCCAGTTTAGCTAGGGTTACTCCGATACCCAATTAAAATCTAGTGTAACCAACTGTCTTGATAAATTATCTAATTTTCAACAAAAAAAAAGTAAAGGCATGCCTTTATCATAATTATTATGATTGATTGTGACAATTGATCAATCATAATGATTATGATTGATTAATCATAATTATTATGATAAAGCATGGAAGCAAAAATGTCCCCTTACTATCTACTTTGAAAATGAGCAAATTCTCTATGCTTTTAAAATTTTCCTGACGGTGAAGGAACCCTGACCAATCAGAAGTGAGCTCCTGAAGCTTTGGTAGGAAGTACTGGATGAAGACTGCGAAACTTTACATATGAAGCAAACGCGTCTCTGCATGTATTAAAAGCATCGAATATTACCAAATGCTCAATCCAAATTCTTTCATCTGAAAACAATTCAAACAGAAGAATATCTTCACTCTATGGATTGTGCATTCATAATCAAATGTGCCATTTTTATTTTCCCAACGAAAATAACGGACCACATATTTTGAATCACTATCTGCAACTTCTTCCATACTGAAGAAGATATGAGTGGACAATCTTTCTGGCCTCCTCTCCTCCCTGCATTGTTTTCTTGGTGAGCTTACAGAAGCCCCGCTGCAGCCATGGGGGGAATCCTCCGGGGGAAACCGAGGCATGTTGGCGGTTGTATGGCAGGCAGATTTGCCCCGTTATTCATGCCCGCTAATTGCTTCCCGGCGCTCCCGGCCTTTTCCCAGGAAGACGTCTCCACCCCAGATTGTAGCATGAGCGGCGGACGTGAGGCTGTCACTCAAACCTCAGTGTGACCTTTTCCCAGAGAAAAGGATGTTTTTCAGCCAGCCAACGAAACGAAGGTTAATGTGTGAGCGTGCTTCTATGCCTGCGAGGACCGGGTCCAGAAAAGGATGTTTTGGCTTGGTGCAACTTGACGCCATATTGAGCGAATAAAATAACCAAAGATTGGGATTTATTTCTGATGCTGAGGATGTTTTCTAATCATATATGTAATTGATCGAATAATCAATCAAATGATCATTTGAAGTAGTCTCCACTTCAAATGATATTTTTTTTACACTATGGAGTTCAATTTAAAACAAGAGTGTTATAAAATATCAGTTTTTTTTTCTTTTCTCAGACTGATTTCTTTTTGTCATCGTCATGACATCAGTCTTCACCGACGTTCACAAAAAACGACAAAGCCCCACCAGCAGACGGACACATTAAGGCAGGTGTTTTATTTGTTTCTCCTGGTTGTGTTGTTGGATAGAAACCCAAGTGCCTCCAGAGCATTTTTACATATTTGTAAAAGTTTGTCCAGACACACATTGGTTACTAATGTGTAATGTCTTCGTTTGTTGCTCACAATGAGGTTTGTACAAAGAATCTCAATCGGTTGCCATAAAAAAAATGAATAAATTTTAAAAAAGGCAAGACAAAGCTAAAAATGTGGTTAAAAAATCAAAAGGATTTGATCTGCGGTGGTAAATCCACGTTTTATAACCAGAATGTTGTAACACATGTCCCATGATGACATAGTTATATACATATTGCGTCATTTATAAAGTTAAGTGCAAATTTAAAGTAAAAAAAAACCTAATCTTTAATTGAATTTTCTCTATTAGATATTATCGGAGCATGGTTTTTTAAGGTGTTGAAGATGTATAACAAACTCCTATGTGCACAATTTTATGTTATATCCAAATATAAAAGATATTTTTCTTGAATTGAGACACTTTTTAAAATGATCTTTTGAATCCCTAAAATGAGCAGGCAAAATATCTGAGACAGAAAATTCAAAGTACAATAGGTGTTATAAATGTCATTTATGTAACAAATGTTTAAATACAAACAATTTATAGACTTTGTGCGCATTGAGAGACAATAAAATCATAGTGAAGGCACATGGCATACATTCATCACAGCATAAAACATTTACACCTGAAAAACGTTGAATAAACAGCAAAGCATCAGCCAGCATGTAGAAATATTGTTCTCCAACAGAAGCATGAAAAGGAAATGGGGGGAGGAGGGACAAAAATCCACGTTTATTCTTTCATTTTAAATGTTTGTATGGAGGTCCAAACATGCCACAATTCACTAAAAATAAACATTACTTGGTCGATTCATAAACAGTTGTTACAAATCATTCATTTAAAAAATAAACAGTTTCTGAATAAATTGAAAACATTTTCAAATGAGTTGCTGCAACACATTCTGAAATTACACTTGTGGGCGGATCTGACAGTATTATTATTTTAAAAATATATATAATAAATTAAATAATTTAATAGGATTTTAACCCTTCTTCAAATACCAATTTTATAAATTCTGTATTTTTTTATAAGCACTAAATTTCAACACCTTTGAAACTCCATAGAGTAGCAGAGAATTTTGAATGTTAAGAGTAATTGTTGCTTTGAAAAACAACCTTAACCAAGTATATTTTATGAATATACCTTGATACAAACAACCATAGCGAATAAAAGAATAATCGGTAAAAAAAAAAAAGAAGCTAAAATCAAAAAAACTGAAAGCTTGTAAACATCAGTGACTACAGCTTGTAGTTAGTGTGATCACCTGAAAACCAAATTAGGGCAGCAGAAGCGTTTGACGAACCGTCAAACGCTGTATTGTGTAAGGTGTTGAAGATGTATTGTGCTTTTGATGTGGCTGAGATCATTTATACAATAAAACATAATTCCCACACGAAGGGCAGCATTATGCTTTTGGGAGTGTTAGTTTTTCTTTGTTTGTTTGTTTGCTCAAATATCAGATCCAGAATACTAGCAGAGGCTCGTCGAAGGCTACTGCATGTCAGCCAAATAGTTGCGGTTGTAAAGAAATAAAAAATGTATTTATTTATTTTTTTAAGTTGAAAGCTCAATTCAGAATTACATCAATACAGAATTTATTTCCTTCCTTTTTAGATGCGAACGACGGGGCTCAATAGAGTCGATTTTAACTAAATGAATCACTTGTTGGTCACAAGTCATGACTCGAATCTCTATTGACCAATCAGAAGTGAGCTCCTGAAGCTTTGGTAGGAAGTACTGGATGAAGACTGCGAAACTTTACATATGAAGCAAACGCGTCTCTGCATGTATTAAAAGCATCGCTGAATATTACCAAATGCTCAATCCAAATTCTTTCATCTGAAAACAATTCAAACAGAAGAATTTGATCATTTTTGGTAAAAATGAAGATACTGCACACATTAAAAATGTACTTAAAAGTTGTTTTAGTAACGGAACAATAACGCCGGGCTGTTTGAATACATTTAAAGAACTGTAGGGTCTAACCTTAACATGAAATTGATATTCATTTCTAACTAGCTGCAGCGTGACAAACAGATTCAATACAAGGATTTCGTCCTGTTTATTCTGAGATGACACGCATTTCATTTACTTTAATATTTCAATTAAGTGAAGCCTTTTACTTAATTGACTTTTCAGTAAAAGTTTTGAAATCCTTTCTTTTCTTGGTGGCGAACATTCAGTTTGCTGCACAAAATAAAGCCTGAAAGCACATCTTTAATCCACAATCAGTGTTGATTCTGTGAAATACGGAGTGATTCTAGAGACACTAAATGTCAAAAAGGTTTTGTGTTAAATGGGAAACATTTTTGTGCGATCACAGGCACAAGATCTGTCTCCCGGACTTGAATCATTAGATCAGATTTCCCCTAAAAACGCAGCGCCTGATTTGATCAAGCTCATCCCGCTGCGAGCTTGATTGCGTTATTGTGATTCAAATGGAGCCATTTGCATACACCCCCTCAGGCTCAGAGTCCTCCACCGCTGCGGTCCACCGTCACCGGCTCCCTCGTGTCCAGCGTGGCCTCGGCCGTCTTCAAGAGGATGGCCAGGCGGCTGTCGGACACGTGTCCCTCCTTCACGGCACTCATCAGCTGCGGAGGGAAGAACAGAAAGCCGGTTTAGACGGGGTAACCTGAGGCCAGACGGTGCTCTGCTAAAAGAGCAATTACTGCGTGAACTTAAGGTAGGCTGTACATCTTCTTGGATTATTGTTACATTGTTTAACAGTCAGATGCCATAATAATATTTTTTACAATAATAAATGTATTAAAAAAATGTAACAAGTTGATCGGAGGGACTATAATGAGTATTTTATCGCTGTGCTTTGAAAACATTAATTGACTTAATACAAACAGGGCAATTTCAGAAACAAAAATTGTGTTTTTCGATGAAACCTTTTGGCGCTACCAAAATTGGTTTATTTCACAAAACTGAAATGGAAAGTCTTTTTTTTTCGCATCACAAAAGTCACATGATTGACAACCGGATGTTACCACCGACACAAGCTACAGGAAGTAGCTGTCGTCTTCTACAGCTACTTAGAAGACGACACACAAACAAGCAAAAGTACTTAAATTCGTCTTTTTTTAAATTAATAGTCAATGGAGGCACTACAATTGTGAAATTGTGTTTTTTCGACATTGGCTGAATACATTTATAATGGAGAGCAGTTTATGACTTCCTGTTATGATTGCTGTTCTTCCTGTTTAAGTACAGTTTTGTATTAATAATTGCATCTTGGCTTATAAACTCATTTTGACATTTTCATAAAGGTTGGGTGAACACTACACTGAAAACTGGACCCTTAGTCCACAGTGATAAATAAATCAAAGGTCAGATTGTTCTAAATCGTTCAGTGTGAGATTATGTTGCTGTAAAAGAAGATATTTTTACTTTGAGGCTTTGTACAAACCTTTAATCACAGAAGCCACTATTAAAAAAAAACAAAACAGGAGAACAGCTTAATTAAAACAATTTCTAATCTATTAATTGTCTTGGGTTTATTTTCATTTGCCTCCTACACCTGCAGGCATCTGAGCAATATAGCAGTTTAATGGTTTGGATCTTGTTTCTAAAAGGTCGACAAGCAGAATCTGAGTGTTGCGCTACCCTCAGGAACTCGTTGAATTCGACTTGTCCGTTCTTATTGAGGTCCACCTCATTAAGGATTTCGTGGAGCTCGTTCTCATCAATCTGGACGTTGATGCTCTACAGACGAGAGAAAAACGGGGGATCAATGGTCATGAGGAAGAGAGGACAAAAAAATTTAAAAAAGAGAGGGGAAACTCACCTCTAATACTTGCTTGACATCAACTGTGGTGATGAAGCCTTTGGACTCTTTGTCAAACTTGTGGAAGCGGTTCTTGTACCTGCAGAACAAGAACAGATTTATGAAAGCACAGTCAGGCTTTAGAAAATGAGAGAAAAGAGACGAAAGCGGTTACTTCATCACTTCCTGGTTGTCCAGTTGGATCTCTGATGACGACGTGAGCCGCTCCGATCGAGATCTGTAGCCCATCTCGTGGTACAGGAACATTTTCGCTGCTTCAAGTTCCTCCTGGATTTCACATCAGAGACAGAACTTTCTTCAATCAAAATGAAATCAATCGCTCAAAACGGACATCCCCTCTCCATCGCGTGTCCCGTACCGTCCTCTTCTCCTGACTCCAGTTAAGCTCTTTGCCCATGATTTGGACAATCCTCGGGAGAGCTTCGTCTGCCGCCTGCACATTCAGGAAGCCGAGCCGCGTCCGTCGCGCCATGACATCGATTGCAGTGCAGGCGTACTCCTTGATGGCGTACAGGACCTGGGAAAGGACGACAAGGTCTCAGACACTCCCAGGACGTGGAACCGGAAGGATCCCAGGCAGAGAAATGGTTTTACCTCCGCTTCGATGTAGGGGAATTCCGACACCAGACGTTTCCCAACGATCGGCCATCTTTTGCCTGTAACCTTAGCTATTTGGGCAACATCAAATGCTTTGCCACCATATGTTGTGGCCAAATGTTGCGCAACCTGCAGCAAAGAATTAGAATTACACACAGAATTTTAGAATTTAGGACACCCTTAATATGTATTACATTTAGTAGCTCCAGAATTTAATGTGAAATCCACATAAAATGTTTTTATATTTAACATACTATTTGGTCTCCCTTATAAGATCCCGTAGATGTTATTAACTACCGCCATATCCCAAATTGTGTGTTAAACAATCTTTTAGATAATTGAACAAATAACATTCCTTTTGTGTGTATTTTTACAGTTATGCAGAAGAAGTCTAAACCTCTTAAGACCAGGATGTTTTTGAATATGCTCAGGCTACATTTTCGTGCTTGTATGCATATTATATATGCAGTTTACATATAGTTCTACTGGAAAGCTTCCAGCTCCAAAAGTTTCAAACTTTTTCTTAAAGCATACGAAATAGACCTTAATAACAAAATGAAACTGTAACAAGCTTAATCCGGTTTATTGGCAGCATCAGGTTTTTTGTAAGATGATCAATTGGAAGTACGTTTGGATTATGTTTCGACAAGTGAATGCTTTCTGGCAGCACTCTTAATTCGGTGAAAGTTCATCTCTTATAAATTCGTCAAAGTCGAGATCCCCCTGCTACTGATGTTAATGCTAATCTAATGCGTTTTACAGTTTGCCGTATCCAGCTGATCAACTTCACATCTTTGCAAATTAACAATAAATAATGCCGCCGCTTGATTGGTGAGGTGTCATATATTTACAGAACACAGGGGCCTATTTGCTACTGAGATGGCTGACTTGCCGATCATGTGAAAGGTCAAACACTGTCCAAATATCTGGTGACCTTTAGAAATATTCCTGAGAACACAGCAGCTGCTACAGGAGCTCCTAATGAGGGGAAAGTTTACTGCAGGTTCTTTTTTTTCATGGAACTATGGTCTGATGCTTTTAATCAAAACAACTAGCTAATTATTGCAGACTTGACTCCAATCAATATATCCTTATGTGAAGGTATTGATTAATTGGGCATCTTTCATTGCATTTCTGCATGTCTTAGATATTTTTTGTGTAGAACAAATGTCAAAAGAAGCTTTAATGTCAGCTCCCAGACTGATGCCGGAGAAATCTCTTCAGTCTCACGGAAACTCTTGGCATGATTGTTTGTAGGTGAGTTTGTGTTCTAATGAGCGTCTTTAGGCGAGGTGAGGATTTTACCCCTGGAAGATGATCAGAGCAATCTCAGTTTGGAGAAACGGGAGAGAAATTCTCATGGAGGAATCCAGCTAAATGTTCTTCTGATGGATCATAGAAAACAACTCAAATTCAATGTCATGTGTTTCCAGACACACGGTGCCATTTTAGCACAGTCAAGTAACGGCTACCTTCAGTTATGCAAACACTTTATATATCAGACATGACTTAAAAGAAATTTGACTTTGCAATTTAACACCTTGAAATAGGGCCTCTGTCTCTTTAGGAAGCTTGTGATCTTTCTGAAACTCCGCCTTCAACTTCTTAATGTTTCTCCAATAACCCTTTAATGTTTTTAAGAGCGTTGTACTGAGTAGTTCTTACGATAGGCGCAGCTCCACCAGCTGCTAATTGCTTTTTTTCCCTCTGAATTCTGACATTAAAGTCAACTCTTCGACGGTTTGGCAAATCGTTAAATGAAATGGAGATGTACCTCCTCCTCCAGGCCGTAGTCCTGTACCAGTCGGATGTAGAGGGTCGGTGTCCAGCCCTTCCCCCCCTCCAGCATCAGTCCCACTGTCCTGCAGGGTCTAGCTGGGAGGTGGAAGCATTTTACTGCTGCATCTATCGTCTCCTGGGCCATAGAACGGTATGTTGTCCACTTCCCACCTGTAGTTGGACAACAGAATGCTGCATCAGAGCAACCGATTATGTCTTGAAGAGTTTTGAAGCTACGTAGTGTGCTTAGCTGACCTGCGATGGTGATCAGTCCAGTGTCACTGATGTTGACAATGTGGTTCCTGCAGATGGACTGGGTGTCTTTGGAGTTGGGATCGGTCACCAGCGGGCGGATGCCGCTCCAGGCTGCTAGAACATCTCCTCTCCGCACTGAAGACAAAGCACAGCTGTATTTATATTCAGTGGACAATCAAGGAGGCATCAGAAACGTGAGCCGAATCCGGTACCTTCCACATCTGGGCTGAGGTAGTTGCGCACCTCCCTCAGAATGAAGTTGATGTCATCCTCCCCCGGTATGGGGTGGGCTGTCACTTCAGTAGGGGTGTCGGTGGTCCCAGCAATGGTCATCTTCTCCCAGGGCAGGAAGAAGATGACGCGGCCGTCACTCGTAGCCGGATCCAAAAGGCCCATATTGTCGGGGCTGAATGGAAGAGGGTTTAAATATTTTTAAAGCTAGAGCTGGTGAAAGACAGGACAATGTAGCATAAAGGATGAGAGAAGGAGGAAGGAACGAATATGAGGGGGCAGAGTGAGGTGAGCGCCAAAGATGAAGAAGAAAATTAGGTGGTTGGCATTTGTGTTCAAAGGGCTCGCGCTCCCTCGGGTTTTACTCAATAAGCTGAGCTGAACTTTAAAGCCTCCCACTTCAACAAAACCACTCTATTGCTGAGCTGCTTCTCAACCTGAGAAGATTGTCCTACACCTGTAAGTGAAGGTCAGATTATAGTTTAGCTAGCTCACTATTTGCAGAAGGGGAATGGGAAAACACAGAGGAACAAACAATGAACAGGTTAATAAATATGAAACAGCATCAAAACCTTAGTTTTTACACCAGGCGTTGAGTTGCATTTCCTTGGTACCTGTAGTATCCCGGCATGACGATGTGGACACCTGCACTTGGCTGGCAGATTTTAGCAGTTTCCTGCTTGTCCATCTGCCTCAGAGAGTCGGTGAAAGGTCCAGTGGCGTTGATTACACATTTGGCCCTCACGTCAAACTCCTTCCCTGGAAAACAAAGCGATCATCTCCAAACATCTCAGCGAAAACCCTAATGAGAAATCGGTTCTGGGACTGACTTCGGAGCCCTCACTTGTAAGGACGTCTCTGCAGTGGGCACCGCACAACTTCTCCTTGCCAGTCTGCTGGTCTTTGGTCTTCAGTAGATGAACCACCTCAGTGTAGTTGGCGATAGCTGCACCATGCCGGGCGGCTGACAGCGCGATGGCCAGGTTCATCCGGGCGTCATTGTGTTGACCTGATGAGAACAGAGAGCAAAATGATGATGCTGTGGTTCCTAACAGAATGTGGCCAAGTGTCAAAAACTCAAGTCCGTAATGGAAAACAGATGCTTTATTGGCAAGAGTCTTGATTGTACAAAGGGCAAAACGGAAGTTCAGAAAGTGAAGACCACAAGCAGGAAGATCTTTCCTCTTGATTCTTCAGAGAATACTGGTTTCTTAGTGGTAAGGTTTCACACTGATGACAAACGTGTTGCTTGTTTGATCCTGAGCAATGAAGTTTTGTTTTGTACTTTGTTGAAGAAGGAGACACGCCATGAGATTAGATAAATTGTGAACATTTTTACCTTAGAAAGATTTGCAAGAATAATAACCAAAGTGCCAAAAGAAACAAACAATTGGATTGCGAGGGTTTTCAGACCAGGTGTACCTTCAGTGGACTTAACACACTACATTGGCATTTTAAAGGCAAATGTAGACACACACTAAAAGTAATTCAGTGAGAGGATTACATGTTTGCTGTCCAGTTTCTGCGAGAGCAAAAAGAAGCTCTGTTGTCGGCAGTGGCAGGAGGGAGAGGGAGCTTGTCGTTCTGCCAGACCACCACGACGCTTCTCCTCAGCGCCGGAAGAGAAGGTCAGGTTTCTAAATGTCACGGGCGTGATTGTTCCAGACGGAATAATTGGAGAAAAGACGCGCCGATACTCCACCATTCTGCGCTGCTCTCTCCCCTTTCCTCAGAGCATTTGATGGAGGAGGGGAAGGATATGGAAATCAAACATAACCTCAACGAGGAATCAGTCCTGTCTCTTTTCTCTTCTAAAAGCTGACTAAAATCTAAAATAAAAAGATTTTAACAGAACAAAAGATAGTCAGTGCAGTCCGCACAACCAGCAAATAGTGTGATTTTGTTTTCAGGGCAGGAGTCTTCTCATGCTGCCATAGATGCACAACATATGCTTTGGTCCTCTTTGTCCCCCAAAAAAAGGAACATGCAACCTTTGTTGCCGCCCACCAACCTCTCAACATTATTTTCAGAGCTGGTGGAGATGGTAAAGCCTCAGGACATTTTCATCTTTAACCTCCTTTATGTCTTTGTTCAGAAAATCTATGTTCATTTTAAAATCTCTTTACAAATTTACCATTTGACAAAAAGAATTAAGTCTTATTTTTGTTTTGTTCCCATATATAACATAAATGCCTCCCCGGGATTTATGTTCTAATAATAAAAAATACTCAACTTTATTTCAACAAAGGTCTAATTTTTCACACATTCCATAAAGGCTACATTCAAGAAACAGTAACGGTTTGACAAAACACAATTTTCAGAGTATGTTGTCAAGCAAGGAATAATTTTGTTCAGTTTTGGGCAGTTGCAGTATTTCAGGTTGTCAATAAAAGCTGATGGTAGTTCAGAAGAATAAAGGGCATGGATAGAGGTAGGCATTGTTGACATAAACAATAAGATATGTAACCTATCAAACTACAAAAGGTGACAATGGGGAAGGGAGCCTTTACTCACCGTCGTAATAGACGATGGCTCCTACCAGCTTGTCCTTATTCAGCATGGGGAAATACTCCAGAGCTTTGGACTTACTCAGGAGATAGCTGCTCTTAAGGCAGTGGATCCCAGCCACCATGTCGTACATCTTTATTCCTGCCCAATAGTAAGGCAACTGCCACCATCTGTAAATAAAATCCCGTTCTAGTAAAGTCAACAGACATAAACAAGCAGTATGTTGTTTTGGATTTGGACTCTTACTTGTACACCGGAAGCATGATGGGCAATGGCCCTGAAAGATGAGGGGCAATCTCTAGCAGGTTGGCTCGCTCATGCAGCGCCTCTTTCACCATCATGTACTGAGATGTCCGTACAGAACAAGCAAAGTGAGACGATGCATAAAGAAGGAGCAACAAAACCAAGAGCAAGCAAGATGTGAACGAACCTGTTCGTAGTCTAGCTTCATGATGGCCTTCTGTAGGTAACGCACTCCACCGTGGATGAGCTTTGTACTCCGGCTGCTCGTCCCCGAAGAGAAGTCGTTTCGCTCTACAAGGGCAGTTTTAAGGTCTGTAAGGTAAAGAAAGACTTCATCAAAGTCGTGTTTGATAGGCCAGGCAGGAGAGGTCTAAAAGAAAAGAAGAATGTTACTCCGGGTGACAGCGTCTAAGGCACATCCGGCTCCTGTGGCCCCTCCTCCGACAATCAAAACGTCAAACTCCGGAGTGCCTTGCAGCGCTGCGAGTTGGGCCTCTCTGGAGGGAAGCTCGTTCGCAAAAGGGACCTTCAGTTCTGCTTCGGCTGCCACGCGCACCAACTGAGCCTGGATTGGACACACAAGTCCAAGACCGCCCGTAAGTGCAACCGCGTTGATGCCTTTTATCTTTAATAGTGGACTCTATTTTAAAGATGGTGCAGAAGAAGAGAGAGCAACACTTTCCTTGAGATGCTCTGAAACATTATAAGCACACTGCAAGTATCTTATTGTGGCATTATAATCAGTCCTTGAGCTGACGTGATATAATGCATAATAACTTGCAATCATTTTCATACATTATGAATCTGTTTTGGTTGTGCAGTGAGACAACTCGGTTTCCGAGCTCCACAAATTTGAATTATTAGTGAGGGGCAAAAGTTTGTGAACCTTTGAGTTTAGTCGTAACCTCTGCTGAATAGTTTCAGGAACTTTGGACCAATGCTAAAAATCTCTTTAGGAAAATCTTCAACTGGATGTTGGTGACTTGGTGAGTGCCTTCCCATTATCTTTTACCTTCCACATCTCTTCAATTGAACTTTTTGATTTCCAAAACATAAATTTAAGATCATCTTCAGAGCTTCTGCCATGATGCATTTTTTTTATTTCCCAAGTAAATCAAGAAGTTGCAAAACAGGCTGTACCATGGTCTCACCACCACTATGGATTACAGAATGGTTCCAATCCTTTTTGTTCTGGCACGCTCCAGTGATGCAGAACACATTCAGTAATGAAGAATTCATTGTACCAAATAAGAGAAACAGGTCCACGCCATACAGCACCATGTTTTTCAGTCTGAATCAAGCTATATTGCTTGGAAATGTAGCTTTATTCAGTCTTCTCGGTTAAACATCACACTTGAGAATTTTGAAATAAAGTCTGTAGTTTTTATTCTGACCATAAAACACTGGACCCTATTTTATTCTGAAGGTCAAAGACTTTTGTTGTTAGCTTGTATATTTTTAGATCAGTGGTTTAAGAAGTTTTGTGGGATGTGTTGGGGGAAATCTGGTGCCAATGTAGATACCTAACACTGGCAGGCCTGACTTGGTATAATACAAATTCAGGTTTTTTTTTTTTATAAGGCAGGCTAGACTCTTCAAGGGGGGACATCTTGTTTGTCCATGGACAAGATCTGTAACCACGGCTGTAAAGATGACAGTGTCTAATTCAGGTGCGTCAGGGCCTCAAATATGCTTTATTTAAAGCCTGTGGTTCTATTTATGTTGGAGCGGTTTGCAGCCAAGTGTGAATCAACTTGTAAGATTTCTCTAAATCTGAGGTCATGGATCTCAACAGGAAGAACGGTGGATTGTTACCTCTGAAGTCTTTAAGTATCTCTTGTATTGCTCACGAGTCACAGGTGTATGGGGTGGTAGATGGAATGTCTGACCTACAGTAAGGAGAGGAATACACTCCTCTGTTATGCAGAAGGAGCTATGCTAAGAGACAAAACCCTCCTTTAATTAGCAAAGACATGGACATTAGTTCATAAGAATAGTGTAACTTCTCCTTCATGTTGTAAGGATTCAGCTGAGGCGGACGTAAGTAGGATGCTTACTGGGTGCCGTCCATTGAAGCTTTTTTAGCATGTCCTACTTAGACAGTTTGGTAGACTTTTGATGGCTGAATGGATGGATTTGATGCATTTATGGATGGATGGATGGAAGGATTGATGGACTTTACAATTCAACATATTTCTATAGTGCCGATGAACTACAAAGGTCGTCTTGAGGTACCTTACAAATCTGATGGATGGATGAACTGTTGATGGATGGTTGGATGATTCAGGAGGTTCACATACTTTTATCAATGACATATAGTTTATTATTAAATGTTTATGATTATATTTGGCTAAATAAAGTGACTTAACTCATATGAGGTATAAAAATAAAATAAGTGAGTAAAGTCTGATAAATTTCCAGATGGAAGGAGAAAACAAAAATCACGCAGACCTCAAAGGCTTCAGTGAATAAGTGTTTCTAAGAAGTTCAAAGGCCCGTTTTCTGTGCTTATAATGTTTTCCATTAGATTTAGTGAGCAAGTGAAGTGTTGCTGCAGAAAAGCCCGCCACATTCAGGATTAGATTAATGACAAAGAAAAGTTAAGAAAGTGCGGAAGGGTTACTTTGTGGCTGCTCCACCAAGCTGCTCGCTTTCACACGTTCCAGACTAAACACCACTGTTTGATTAGCTAGATACTTAATTTAAAGAAATAATCACAGCTACAGTAGAAGAATTTCATGTCTAATGAAATATTTATTCACCTTTCTGTTTAGCAGCTCAGGCTAAATGATTGCATCAAGCTGCTTTGAAGCCAGCGCGCCATTTGACTTGCAAATAACGACGGGCGTTTGTAATTTAGGTCTCGCCTATGATATAATCATTGTCTCTTTTCGCTGATGCTCGGTCACAGAATGAAGCGCCGGCACCGATAATCAGGTTAAGTCGGAGGACGGCGCGTCGAAGCTAATGGCCAATCGGACCGCTTTGAAAACTTCCGTGAGCCACATGCCCCGACTGAAGGAGACAAGACGGACATTCAGCTCATCAGCAGTGCAATTGCAGGAATTAGAAGGCATGCATGATTACAAACTATTTATTAGATGGTCGGATTTCATCAGGGTGGACTTCTTGCTTACCAATCCATGCTTGGGTGGAGAGGATGGCGATGGCAAGGAGAGGATATTATCCCACCAGGACACAAAACAGAAGTTCAGGTTAGGTTTGAGGCGACCAATAAGGTCTGGAATCTAAAATTACGTGTCACATCTGAGCGGAGCTGCTGGAGCTCTCTGTGTGGAGTTATTTATATCCCTACGAAGACGTTGTTGTCTTCAAGGATCGCCAGGGCTTGTAAACCTAAAGTGTCTTCCAAAAGTATTCATACCACTTGACCTTTTTTCACATTTTGTCAAATTATAACCACAAACCTTGAATGTAGGAGTCAAGACGGACAATGGAGATTACAAATCTCCATTGATTTCTAATCAATGATTTTAAATCAATGGATTTAAAATCCATTGATTGTGAACGACACATTTTGTGATGCATTTTAAATTTATTTATGATTTGCATTCAGTTGAATGAACTGAAATCTGCGCACCCTTAAAAATATGTTTTTGCTTTAAAAGCTGCCACAATTCATCATGTAGATTTTGGTAAATATGTGTTGAGCTAAACCATTATATTGTAACTTTGGGTGTAAGTTTAGGCTTACTGTCCCGCTGGAAAGTAAAACATGTTTTTCTCACCCTGTGGTAGAAAATCATCCTCACAGTATGGTGCTGTAGAGACAATAAGAGTCTTGTTTGTGTCCCTCCCGCTCTTACTTTATTTTATGCAAAGCATAGCATGACCGGTTCCGTGTAAATAAAGAAAGCAAGAGTAAAAAAATTTTCATTTGGAGTATTTAAGATAACTAAAGTTCAATTAAAATGTGCTGAGTTTGTGGTTGGACTGTGACAAAATGTGGAAAAGTTGAAGCTTGTTGCTACCAAAACACGGGTGCGCTGTTTATTTTGCGCTCGTCTGTTGGCGCGGTTATTTCCTCTGATTTTCACCGGCCAAGCAAACACAAGAAATCGAGGAGAATTTGGGTTTAGACAAATTCACACAGAGGTTTAATCAGGACCAGGAATCTCCATATGATGACATATTCATCTACATCTACAAGAAGCTGAAAGGAGCAGGAGGAAGTCGAGACTCCCGTGGGTCGGATGACCTGGTGATGAATTCTTACAGCAACAAACCTAGAATCAAGTTAACACATTCCATAATCCAGACCAGACATGCCCTGCTGGCAGGAAGGCGTCTTTACAGAAGGAGAACATTCCTCTCTGATTGGACGAGCCAATCAGAGCAAAGGCTTACCTGCTTCTTCCTATACCCTATCAGCTGCGACAGGCCGAAGACCGTTGTGACCGCCACGCCTCCCACCACCGCCGCCTGTTTCAAGGTTCTTCTGTACGCCATGAGCCCTGCAGTGGCAGAAACAAAAACCAAACCAGATTGATCAGCTCTGTGTTCATCAGGTATGACTCCACTTAGGAAGTAAAAGCAAAACATTTGTCGTTTTTGTAGTGCAGTCCAGAAAAACCACCAGAACCTTAGATGACTGTTTTGGAATATTTTTAAGAGAAAAGCAGCACCTTTCAATCTATACATCCATTAATCTGTCCATCCATCCATCTCTCTATTCCAGGGATCTGCAGCCTTTATAATGCAAAGGAGTCATTGTTATCATAAGTCCAATTAAAACTTGTTTAGAACCACAAGTGTTACACAAAAGAGGAGAAATAATTTTTTTAAACATATGAGAACATGACACTTTTTAACTTTTTTTAAAGAACCACTACTTTATGTCTAATAGCAAAAAAAAAACATTGTGTATCTTCAATCTCATTCTGTTGGAGAAATGTATTGTGATGCCATTAAAAACTGAAAAGCTACTAAAACCTGCATTTATTACTGTATTTATAAATATAGTATAGTATATAGTAACATACAAACATGAGTTTGTTGTTTATTATCTCTGACCAAAATCAATGGAAGCCATTGTGGGAAGTCTATTCCTTTTTGTCCATCAATCCATCCACCTCTTCCTTCAACTGTTTATCCATCTGAGCATAATTTAATTAAAAGAAGAACCAGTGCACAAATATACCCCCCCACCACCACCAACAAAAAAACCCGACAAAACAAAAAAGTAAATTAATAAATGAATAAAAATCTTCCCCGAAACGCGACACAGGAACCAGTGAGTCGCTTTCCATATTTTCATACATGAACCTTAACAAGCAGAGGATGAAGCTGCCGGACCTCAACTCCCAGCAGGGGGGCCGGCGTGAAATAATTTCCATAGCTGCCGTAACCCAGTTAGGATGCAGGTTTCCAGGGAACGCCACACACACACAGCGAGGCAGATTCTGATGCATTTTAATAAACACAGCCGCAGATGGCGCAAAATGTCAGGGAGCAGTCTGGAGAAACGTATGACGTGGTACAAACAAAAAGAATTACCGTGCCACTTGTCAACATGCAATGAGGTAATTTTATGCTTCTTGTGGATCCAACTTTTGAGAAATGGAATCAAGTTTTTTTTTTTGTTTCAGCACCATAAGCTTTTTAGTTATCACAAAAAAAGTTTTCATGCACCTTTTTAAAAACATGTCAGAAACCCTCAAGCTCATCAGAAACTCAACTTCTTAGCTTTCTTCTTCTACAGCTCTGTCCAGACATTCCATTAAAACCCATTTGAAGCAGAAGGTAGACTGACAACTTTGTGAAACCCTTTTGTTTTCATTCCTAGGTCAATATAGTTGATAAAATAAACGGTTGACCCGGAACCAGCTAAGTAAACAGATAAGCGACTCCCAACAGACAAAATTAATATATTCCAGCTGATAACGAGTTATTAACAAACCCTGAAAACGACCAATGATGCAAGTCCATCCTCTGTTACAACTAGCACTGTTCATTGGAACATATTAAAACATAATCGAATGTGAATTGTGAAATAAACACAAAAAACTAAACAGAGTATTGTATTCGTAGCTTTGATTCAGTCAGATTCAGAGGTGTAGAAGATTCATTTGGAGATTTGTGGTGCGTTTCAACTCAAATTGACTACTAAAATATATGTATATAGTTTTAAATAGCTGTACAACATAAATACCATGTATAGTGGTAGCTGTAGACTACCATCAATAACCCTCGAACCGAAAGGAATCTGTCAAAAACGAAGGCCGTCAAGCAAAAGTGAATAGTTTTCAACTATACAGCTTATGATAAGTGTCACTGTCATCAATCCTCATATTTAAAGAAACTATAGAATGGTATATGAAGGATAAATATTTTCAGAAGCACATAAGAAGCCTTATTAACTGTTTGGCATTTTCTTGGATGCGGCACATGTGTTGAAGAAGCTGGGATGGGAAAAAAAGCTGAAATTAAAACTGCCCACCATCCCTCAAAATGGTGAAACATGGTGGTGGCAGCATCATGCTGTAGGGATCTAGAGACAGAATGTTTGAGTGTGGTGACAAAAAGTGCGTATGACTAGTTCTTTTTAAAAGGCAATGCATTTGCAGTAATTATTAGTCACCAGAGGAGGAAGGGGAGGGAAGAGGGGGGATTCCTGGATTGAGCAGTGAGCTCGTGGCGACCTCCGTTTAGTTTTAACCACTTTTAGAGAGAAACACGAGTTTATTCCGCCTGTTTAGGAGCTTAATGCGTGTTAATGACTTTAACCGACTTATAACAGCTGCAGGTGACATTCGGCGTCGTACTACAATGTCATAGCTGTATCATGGCCACACACGAGGAAGTTGTTAAACTGTAACCTGCCGCTGTGGCTTACACCATTACCCCATCGTGGTTTCATTTAAAGGAGATCCAGCAAGAACTCAACAAAAGACTTTACATGCATGGCTTTAACAGAACAAGCTGTATATAAGGGGATAAAAGACTGGATAACCGTTGAAGTCACTCAGCTCTAGAAACCAGAAGAGGTGTTGCTCTCATTTTGGCTCCATTCCAAACAAGACGGGTTTAAACGTATATTAAGTCCGACTATAAAACTACGGGGGGGGAGGAAAAAACCCGACAGGCTCCACTTACAGGAATTCTAGTGTCCCGGCTGAAAATGACGCTCGGTGTGCTTCTGGACGGCTGCTAGTCAAACTGTCGCCGTTACTGTCAAGACGATCACAAACCCAGGAAGCTACCTGCGTTACTGCAGAGACGTTTCACCCCCAGCCAATCAGAGCGCAGCGCTTCCAGGCTCTCCTCCAATGAGATAAGAAGAGGGGAGGGGCCCAGACGGTGACGTATAGTGAGGGAAAGAATGCGTCGCTCTGATCTTCCTCTTGGATAATGAGGAAGAGATGAGAGGAGACGCCAGCTGTCGCTTTCTCTGACGGCAGGAGGCACGCAGGGGAAAGGAAAAGCTCTCGCTGTTACGTGCTGGGATTGTTTTAGACTGTGTGGGAACTTGTACATGTGAACAAATCTCTCAAATCCCTCGGAACCAGATCCCTATTACATTGTAATAGCAGATTATAAACAAAATCCAACTAAAGAAAAAGTTGAAGCTCAGGAGATTTAAAAATGCACTAAAATCGAACGCAAGAGATGAAAAAAAGCATAATAGCTGTTCAATAATTTAACCAATGTAGAAATTACTAATAATATTAGCGTGCTGTAAGGTTGACCCAAATTCTGTTATATATATTATATATATATATATATATATATATATATATAATATATATATATATATATATATATATATATATATATATATATATAATTTGCACAAACATTTCCCATAAAATAAAAAAATTTTGGACACCATGTTTATGTGTTAATGGCCTAGTCAAAGTTCAGATTGACTAATTGGGAATCTGTGGATAGACGTGAAAGCTGTCCGCAGTTACACCCTGACTGATGTGTGATATTGGAAGCACGAATATCAAATTTGTCACGAACTCTATTATTTTACTGACACAATTAAAAATAAACGGGTCCGAGACGCACACTCGGCTCGACTGCGACGGAATTGCTGCTTCAGAATCTATCACACAAACTCTGCCTCCATCACAGCGACGCTCGCTGCACGCACACAGACCACCCACTCTCCCACACACCCACTCCGCCTTCCGTCTTCGGGCTTGTGCGTAAAGAGGGTTTGGCACAAGACGTCGCGGCGCGTAAACAAAAGCACATTGTGAGCGCCGCTGCTGCCCAGATGGAGTGAGCGGTCATCCCCACTGGTCTGAACAGTGATTCGGAAGACGAGAGCAAACTCGACCCTCGAATAGCCAATTTAGCCGAAACAGACTTTTGTTGTTCCTTCAAGCTGGAGAACCAAGAGAGAAATTAAATCTTTTGAGAAACAGGACTTAAAGGTAAATTCTCGCCTAACTCCTCCCATTTTTAAGTTTAGTCGTTTCAAGCATTTTGGAATCAATCGTGAAATTATCGGGTGATGAAGTAGTTCACATACCCTGTCAGGTTTACGCGCGGTAAAGTTGAACGTGTGTGTGTGTGTTTCCAGGGGGGCCATGCCGTGCGTCCAGACCCAGTGCGGCTCCTCGCCACCGGGCGCCAGCCCCGCGTCTCAGAGCGCCGGCGCGGAGTGCAGCTGCGACTTCCTCACGCCGGAGTTTGTCAAGTTCAGCATGGACCTGACGAACAGCGAGCTGTCGGCCGCCTCGTCCGGACCCGGCTTCGGCAACTCCGCGGACGGCTACGGCGCCGGCTGCGACGCGAAGCCGCCGTGCGCCTTCCAGATGCCCGCGGTGCAGGCGGAGCTGCCGTGCGTCAAAGTGGAGGACGCGCACGGATGCCCGCGCTATCAGACTCCCCTGCACTCCTCGGATAACTTGCTCTCCTCCCAGAGCTCCGTGTATTACTACCGCTCCCCCTCGCCGCACGGCTTCCACCCGCCACATGGACACATCTGGGAGGATTCCGGCTCTCTGTACAAAAGCGCGCTTTCCCGGTTTTCCCTGTTTTCTCTCAAGCACGCGCCGCCCGGCACCCAGAGCTTCCCCTCCTGCCCGGTGAAATTCGACGTCTCCATAAACTTGGACGCGGGCGGTTGCGGGTCGCACCACCAACAAGGGAAAACCCTGGGAGTGGGCTTCCCTCGCCCGCTCCAGTTCTCACACAGCCACCACTTTATGGAGTACCAGAGCTCCGTGGGAGCCGCGCGCGGGGCTATGAGCTCGGAGGGGCTGTGCGCGGTGTGCGGGGACAACGCAGCCTGCCAGCACTATGGAGTCCGCACCTGCGAGGGCTGCAAGGGCTTCTTCAAGGTCTCCGGACTTCCAATCTTGAATTATTATTATTTTATCAAAATGTAGTTTTATTCGAGCAAAGTTGAAAAATTCCCTGAAACGGTGATGCTGTCGATTTGAAATAACTGAAGAAGAAAAAAAAAAAAAAAAAAAGAAAGAGAGAAATACCCAGAGGACTTCTTAATTTCCATTTGAAATTGGATATTATATTCCAGATGCTCCTGACAGGTGATACATTCTGTGTGAAAGTGGGCGCCAACGTGCTGTGAATTGCAAAATGCGGCCCCACCCCCATTCATCTGGCAGAAACATAATCCCAGGGCAATTCTCGAAATTATGAATGACCACGACCTGGTGTTTACCCAGACTGCCTCCCGTCTGCCCCCCTTCTGCCTGTTGAATCTATTTTCCGTCGCCTCGGACGGCCCAAAGGAGCAAAAAGGTCCTGCCGACGAGTTCCAAAGGGCAACTCAGACCTTTTGTTCGCATTCATGCTTGTGCACTTTGGGTTCAGAAATGAAAAATTCTGCTCCCGAAAAAATGCACCACATTCTGTCGGTAAAGGTGTTCACAACACCACGTTGTCACCTTCCTAAAATAATGCCCCAAAGTGTTTCAAGTGATTTTGGCAACAACAACAAAAAATAAATCACCACCGTTCTTTTAGGAAGGTGTCGATTTTTGAGTCTCCGGTTAGGGTTGGGGTTTGGTAGACTTGTGCCTTGAGAGTATGAAAGAACTTTCTGTCTCATGTTAATTATTTGTTTTCTTTTTTTATCGGTGCAGCGAACGGTGCAAAAAAATGCCAAATATGTGTGCTTGGCTGCAAAAAGCTGCCCTGTGGACAAGCGACGGAGGAACCGATGCCAGTATTGTCGCTTCCAGAAGTGCCTGGCGGTGGGAATGGTCAAAGAAGGTATTCCCATGGCAACACAGTTCCTACTCCAGTCCTCAAATGACACCGTCCCACAAACATTTCAGAGGTATCCCCGTCTCAATGACTTCTTCAGCCTATGAGTTCAGTGAGATCTGGTTATTAGCCATTTCTACAATTCAGTTCTATTGGACTGGGGATTCGTCTAAACGTTGCAAGACAGTGAATCTTTGTGACTGGAATTGGAGACCACTGTAAGAATCGCCAACTTAAAAATTTTATAAATTAGTTTTTTTTTCTACAGTGGTGAGGACAGACGGTCTTAAAGGCAGAAGAGGTCGTCTGCCGTCCAAGCCTCGAGCTTTGCCAGACTCGTTTTTACATGGCAGCACCCTTCTGAGTGCTGTGGTTAGGGCACACATAGAGTCAAATCCTCCAGCGTCTCGCCTGGACTTCTCCAAAGTAAGTCGCTCCGCACCAACCAGCCTTAATGTCACACGTTGTCAATTAAACGCATAATAAAGTCACAGTTGTTCCTTCCGACCCACAAGTTCAAGGAGAGTCCGGGGGACCTGCTGGGTGACGATGCGCAACACGTCCGACAGTTCTACGACCTCTTGATGAGATCGATGGAAGTCATTCAGAGTTGGGCGCAGAGGATCCCAGGTTTTGCCACCCTGCCTAAACACGACCAAGACCTGCTCTTCTACTCAGCCTTCCTGGAGCTGTTTGTCTTGCGGCTGTCGTACAGGTAACAAATAGACCCTGTTCAAACCTTAAGCTGGTTTCCATGTTGGCTTTGATTTGAGTCTACGTCCCTGATTTCAAGTGTTTGCCCAACAACTGGAAGGATGGCCTAATTGTACAACACCCCAGGACGGTTTGCCTTCACAAACACGATTTCTTGTCATTTCAGGTCCAACCCAGAGGAGGGGAAGCTGATCTTCTGTGATGGGTCGGTGTGGCATCGGCTGCAGTGCCTGCGAGGCTTCGGGGAGTGGATTGACAGCATTGTGGAGTTCTCCGCCAACCTGCAGAGGATGAACCTGGACGTTTCCACCTTCTCCTGCATCTGCACCCTTGCTTTACTCACCGGTGGGCAAACAGTTTGTGCACATTCAGTTGATTCAGTCTGTCACTTTTTTATCATTATTGTTTTTTTTAATGATTTGATCCTTTTTAAAGTATGCTTTGTTTGAAATGTTCATGCACAAGATGCTTCCTTGTTGTCAATTTCACTCCGGATATGAAGATGAGTGATTAATAGCCACAAAAAAAAAAAAAGATTCGCTGCAGCACGATTAGCTGAGAAGTGTGAAAAGTCGACAGCAAGTTATCATATCTTACAAATATATTGATTCAACATGTAATACAGAAGTACAAATATGTTTGGGATTATACGTTTAGGCAAGGGTAGATAAACAATTCAGGAAAATTTAGCTTTTAGGTGAAAAAGAAAAAAACATATTTAGGCTTGAAATATCAAAACATTTATCAATAAAATTACTGCTTTTCTCTGTGATGGATCCTATCGACAAAACTAAACACTCGTCAAGAACCCAAAAGAGAAATGAAAATGAAATGAATGACATTTGACTTTAATGTTTACTTCAGATGAATTAGAGTGAAGATCAAAATGGTGAGCAGATATCAGTGACGTAACGGTTTAAGCTAATATTTACTGTTTGAAAATTCCTAAATACGGCCAGTGCATGCATACTTTTACTAAAAATTTGATCAGAATATAGAGGCGTGTATACGATATGTGCGAAGATGTGAAGTTAAGAGGTTACTTAACAAATAAAACCATCATTATTTAGTGTAGTAACAATGTGGTTAGCTAAAACAAGATTGGGCTAACAATTACCCAAAAGCAAAAATGTGAAAATAACCTGGTATTTTTTAAGACATTCGTTTATATGGTTGAGGAAGTCAGGTTAGTTTTCAGAGTCTTTAAAACAGTTTATTTTTGATGAGCCATTACATTTGTTAGCTAAAATGAAACCGCTAATGTAGCCCCGTCTTCCTTTTACAAACGCATCCAAAACC